GTTGCAGCATCCTCCGGTTTGGCTGCGATCTCGACTCCTTTGGGGAGTGGGACATAGTTCTTCCTTGAATTCTGGGTTGGTCTCTTCAGATTTGGGTTTTCTCGCCATTGTTAATATCAGATTCATGGGCTGAAGATGAACAGGCACAGGATGTATCAGAATCTTGTTCTTGATCGTCATCAAGTGGGGTCATCTGCATAGGCCTCCTTATCAGCCTTCAGCATGTCATGCACAGCAAAGTGGTTGCTGCCTCTAAACCGCTTGCTGCCTATAGGCTTTTTGCTTCTTGTTGTGGAAACGAGGTCTTGTGCCTCGAGGCTGACTACATCCTGCATGAGGGAGAGCCAGACCGTGTATCCAATGTAGGCGATGTGTGTAAGCAGTGGGAATCACACCCTTCACAACGTCCATGCATGATTGTGCAGTCATATCCAACCCGGGAGTAGCGAAACGTCTGCTTACATACAATTGCAGGTTGTGCATGGTGCCCGTCCACTTGTTGCTCTTGAGATTATCAAGCTTGTTCCTTAGTAAGGAAGCAGCATGTGGATCTTTGTATTGTTTAATCAATATTTCTTCCAGTGTGGCCACGGGTTTGGCCTTGAGCCATTGCGTCAGATTAAGCTTAGTGTACCCGGATTGTATAGCTTGGACTTCTAAAGAGCCCCGTTCGCCGGGTTCGATGTTGGTCCCCATGATCAAGTACTGGCTCAGTAACTGAGTTCCCAGTACCTCGAAGTAGGCTTTCATGGAGCTGATCCAGGACTCCACGTCTTCCTTGTCGTACTTAGACGGTATTCGTACCCCATTTCTGTCTACGTCGGGACTGCTATAATCGGCACCAGCAAATGCTGTGTCTGAACTCGAGGCTGCAACAGTTGCAGAAATCCCTGCGCTGTCACATGTTGAAGCGGCAGCGGGGTCTGCACGTGATGTGAGTCCCTATTGAACCACACTTCGAGATGAAGAGGTGAGGCATCGAGAGGCGCAAGGACAAACTGGTTAGCAGAATTTGGGATCTAGGCCTGATGCAGATTTGCCATCTGCTGCATCTGATCACTGTGCTCCTTGGCCATGGATCCGCAATTTGCGTCTCCAGTTCACTTACCTGGTCAAAAAGTTTAGCGATCAGACCAGAAAATTCACCAAGTAGGTGACAGTCTATGAGAGCATGCACATATGTGACCAGATCTTTCTTGACCTCAGTGTCGGGACTGTTTTAGAAACAGCCTCGTGGTCCGCAAGAGCGGTTTTCCGCTTTTCGTCCTCTGCCTTCTCCTCTCTCCGTCCCTTGGTGTAGAGAACTGGGAACAATGGTTTGTCCTCTTTGTCGGCTGCATCCAGTTGGGCCTTTAAGGCCATAGAAGCCTTTACTGCTGCCATTTCAGCAAGTCCCTCAGGACGGGTGCTCTCTCCTTTCGTCCACAAGTCTCTACGGGCATCGAAATATGAACTCCGAAAAAGAAACAAACTGAAAAGCTCAAAGGAGAGAAAGTAGAACTCCTAGCCAGAGCGCCATTACATTTGGACTAGAGAGCAACCAAAAAAATAAAAGTAATTCAGATGAGAGTTCTGATCCAGCGTCTCAGCCTGATCAGACCGAATACGAGATCCCCTCGAGTCCAATCTGATCAGTTTCGTGACCGTACGGCAAACTCAGACATCGAGTGACGACATGCAACAGTGAAGAATTGAGTGGTGTATAAGGTGCAAATCAAGCTATGGACCTTGCGGTCAAAGTATACAAAACATCTCAGCCGAGATCCCCTCGGCAGCGAGTGCTCTAACCAGAGAATAAAACTTTACGTCCCAGACAGAAAGAGTATGGTCTAACGTCAAACAGATTTGGGCCTAAGGGGCCCTTCATGCTTGGGTCTGGTCCCACTGGGTACCCGGAAGGTCCCAAGTAGGTTGTGACCAAGTACCAACCACGAAGAGTCCCACATGGACCTACTTTTTGCCTCTACCGAACTGAAAAACGAATTCCAACTTCAAAAAGACCCTACAGTAGAAATATATGGCGTCCAAAGCAAGATACCTCATCTCTTCATCCATCAGGTGAGAAAACAGTTTCCATACTCAGATTCACAAATCAATTCCACAGAGGAGTAGGAAAAGAAACCCAGTGTAACCCCAACAGGCAATCAATACCATGCACACACATACATGGGCATCCCGGAGGTGCACGAGACTTACCTGAGTGGCCTGAGCTTCAATATGAATACAACTCACCCCCCTTTCTGATGGTCCTCCTGACCCATTTAATGCAACTCCTACACTAAAGTCCTATCTAGGAAGGTCGGACTCCAACACCAAAGTGCAACGCCGGATTCCCCGCAGATGATGAAGTACAAAGTAGCAACTTGCAGTCCGTAGATGCAGAATGGCTGCTTTCCTCAAGCTCGCCTGTGTGAGGGAAGCCCTAAAGTTGCTAAGTGTCTCCCTTGAATCAGATTCCAGGTGCAAATGCCTCTCGCTGTCGCCTCTCCCAAATGCTGCACGAAGTCTTATCGAAGTGTCTCGCCACTTCAATCTACTCTCCCACAACCCAGTGGGTCAAGTGTCAACCCAACATGACCTAATCAGGTGGGGGCAGCTTTCCTTAACTATGCTGCCCCACTTCCCTCAATTTCCAGCCCTATCTCTAAGTGGTAGCCCTCCACTTCGGTTAGGGTTGGAGCGGCGAAGTCAACTCTCACCACCAAGTAGAATCCGCTCTGATACCAATGTTATGATCCTGGCCAATTTCAAAGTACACATTCATCAGAAAGTACAATGCTGTCCAATTGAAAAAAGAAATGAATGAAGTTGAGAGGAGAGAGAGGGAAAGTAAAATGTACACCAGCATAGACCAATGATAATGTTGAATGGCTGAACCAGAATCAATGTCCGAATCCCTCTTCTACTGCAGGCATCACATGAGGTCCACCATAGCCATGGCCATCCTTCTTCCTACTCCTTCCACGGACGAGGCCATGGCGGACTACCAGGGCACTGCTCTGCTGTGCAAATGACAACACAAAGCAGCTATTGCTGCTCTAGCTCAGGCTGCCATGCCTGACTCTGCCTCGAAACTTCTTGGTGTAGCTCTGCCCCAACGGATGCAACGCCCACCAAGGTGATGAAGATGGCATCCACCATAGCCAGGTAAGTACCTCTGGCGCTCCTCCCTCCTTGTCCTGGTCTTCTTCCTCCTCCTGTCCTTGCTCCTCCCCAGCAGCGATTCTCTGATGCTAGCGCTTCTCCAGCCAGCGCTCCAACCAGTGTGTCGCCAAACTTGCACACCGGCAATGAGGTGGAGATACAGCGGCCTGCTTGCCTCTTGGCGAGTGACTTCCTAGGCCGCGCGGCCTCCAAGCAACCGGTATCTCCTCCCTTTCTGAGGGAAACATTGTTGCAGACTCTGATATTGCCTGTACAGGCCCTAGACTCAGACTGGTTGAACTGGTACCTGCTAAGACCTAGCCTACAACTACTGAGCCTCTAAAAATGCCAACTTTTGTATTCTTCTGCTCGGCCTCGAGGACCCGGCACATCTACCTCTACATGGTCCGGTACCGGCCTACCTGCTACTTGAGTGTTTACCACTGTTGCGGGCCTCTTTTCTCGCCACTTGAGTGTTTTCCCCGCTGCAACCCTCAATGTCACGGCCACGGGTAAGTACTGGCCCTCCGGGCCTTCCGAACAAACAAGTGCCCTTGCGGGTCACACACGCACTCAAGCCGACAGGCACTCAGACAGGCATGCAGACCAGCAAGCACGCACCCATACAGACTTAGAAAACTGAGCAACAAGCGGGAGACTCAGTAAGGCATACATTCCATGAGCAGAACTCAGAAATCAGCGTTGTGTCTCAGTCCGTGTTTGGCAGGTCATTACATTTGTAAATAATTGCTGAGGTTGCAAGTCAACAGTAGAGCAGCTTGTAAGTGATTGCGTTTATCCTCACTCGTTCCATTCCTATGATGCTATCAGTGGAGAGTCTGGAGACCTGATACGGAAATTATATTCCATGGTCGAAGGGAACTGAGACCTGAAACGGAAATTATATTCCATGGTTGAAGGGAACTAATTTGGCAATGTGGCAATATGTGAAGACACACAAAAAAGGCAGTGTGTGAAAATACGCTCAGAGGAAGAGGCAACGGAAAACTGGTGGCCTCATACAGCTTTTCTTGTGTGAAAGGTTTGCCAGGGTTCAGGTTGGCGCCACATATGCGACAAGATCCAGATTGGTACTGAGGTTCAGGCGTGGGTTTCTCGGGACTGAGACTGTCGACGTAATGCCACCAGAAAGTGATGCCTTGTCTTCTACATGCACCTCGCTACTATGCGGCTCGATATGCTTCAGTGTGTGGCTTTAGCATCCTTTGTTCTCTGTGTCTGCTATTTTTGCTGCGCAAAGCCGTGGTGGATAGCTTTGTAAAGTTGTTGAAAGTTTCTTCTTGTTGGCCACCACATAGTTTGTCAAGAGATGAAGCAAGCAAGGAGGGAAGGGGGTGATGGTGGAAGGAATCATGGAGAGTGAGAGGAGAGGCAAGATTATGAGCTCAGTTATTGATTTTCCTTACTCCAGGACTTGGCAGGAGTCCCTTGGTTGGGAATCAATCTTGTTTGCAGTCTTCTGGGGTGATTATGTGCAAAAGCCAGCTGCGTGGGAATTTAAGCCCGTTGTTAGGTGTCTTGACCTCCTATTGAATGCATAAAGAGGCTAGTCTGCTTCATGTGACTTCACAAGCTGTTTGTATGAGTTGGGCTGTATACTGGAAGGAAGGGCCTGCAAAGCTTTAAAGGTAAATTGTACGTAGGATGATCTGTGAACCGAAAGGTGTGATCAGCACAACAAGGTGAATGTTCTAAACGTCAGGGTCTACTCGGTGCCAAGACTGGATGCAGGCTCTTGAGCTCCTCTTGGATGAAAGAGGAACAATGACTCTGTTAGTTTACTAAATATGAACGATCGAGATGCTCATTCTTGTCTGGTTTAAACCTTGGCACAGGTTTTTGAGATCCGTGAGCTGGCAATCAAGGTGCTTGGACGAATTAGGAATAGGAATCCTGCGTTTATCTTGTCGAGGATGCGAGATCATCGGCAATACCTTCTGGGGGGGTTAGATATAATGTACGCATCTTCTTGCTCCCAGTTGCCCCTCATTGATAGCTCTGTACAAGTGTACTTTCCCCTTTGAGTGTCTTGTTTTTCTGGGGCAGCCCCCCTTTTAAGACCATGTTCTCATTTCCAGTTGTGAATTGTGGATTGTATGCTTTTCTAGTTTTGTGCCTTCAGTCACCTGCTGCCTGCCCCTTTTTTACACATTCGGGTCCCACTTTTGTGACCAATGGTTTAAGTTTTTGTTTTGGTTCTGGTTTTTATGTCCTTGTAAACTCTGGAAGTGCTGTATGGTATTCGTGTTGAATTGAGGGTCGCAACCATTTAGTCTGTTCAAGTGAGTAGATTATCTTGTGGGCTTCCCCCCCCCCCCGTCTTGCAATCAGGGCCAGACGCAGATGAATTGTCGGCCATCATGTCCCGAGCTTAGTAGAAAAAGCGGCTCCAGCAAAGAGGAATCATTGCCAACGACAGGCTCAATTGTGAAACGTCCTTAGAGATTACTGTTACGAGGGACCCTGATTAGGGAGCTTTCACAACTCTTTTCAGCTCTGACCAAATCAGGCCCACAGGGATATGCTTTTGCTACCTGCTTTTGTGATTTTCTTTGATCTTCAGCTCTTGTCATGGCCTTCCAGGTAATTTGATGTGCGCTGAAAGAGTAGTCACGCTTCTAAAGCTCATACTCAATTTAAGTCACTGTGGCTCTATCTGTGCATCTGAGAACTGTGTTTCAAAGTCAGATGCATGGTGAGACGATAGTTGGTGGATGGTGTCCGGAATGTGTAGCACTGTTGGCTGTGATTTGTTGTGAAATAGTTGACGGGCATGGGGTGGTATTTGAACTTAACTTCCCTGGTTAATGAAGTTGCAGAGTAACAGCTAGAAAACCGTTCACAGAACTGCTAGCAAAACAGAATAATCCAAGGCATAGGGAATTGTGCATAGGGAGAACTGCTAGCAAAACAGAATAATCCAAGGCATAGGGAATTGTGCAGAGGGAGTATGTTCATCTGTCCTTCCCTCATGTTTCGGTTTTTCAGGGTTCTACAAACCGTTTTTCATTCTGGGCCATTTGGGAGGGGTCACTCGAGGGCTGGTAGGGGGTTCATCCAAGAGGGACTGTGTAGGGGGTCCGTTCAAGAGGTGCCATTTGGGAGGGGTCTCTTGAGGGTGGCAGGGGGTCCGTTCAAGAGGGAGTGTGTAGGGAGGGAGAGGGGGAATTGCACAGGATTGAAAGGGGGGGTCGGTAAATGGTCAGGTGTTGAAAGAGGATTGTGGGGGTGTTGTTGCTGGATAAAATTGTGAAGGGGCTGAGGGGTTTCAGTTTGAGAGAGAGGGAGGGCAGTTCGGGAGGGGTACAGGGGGGCGATCCATAGTGAGGCCGAATAGGTTTGTCTGCAGGGATGGCAGTGAGAGAGGGGGCCACTTGAAGGGGTGTTGGCGGGGAAGGGAAGTGAGTGTTGAAGGCGGGGAGAGTGTGGCTCAGGGGTTTTCATGTGGCTGGTTCCATAAGGGAGGGTTGTAGCTCCGTCTATATGCAGAATTAACAGACACATGGTATGAAACTGTTGGAATGTATCTGTTCAAAATGGACCTACAACGTAAGGGAGGGTTGTAGCTCATTACGTCTCTTGAAAGTCTTGGAATGTACTTCTGTTCAAAGTCTTACGATGTATAGAAATTGGAAGCTTCATCACCAGTCCATTTGGGCCGTGTACTGGACGATGACCCAGATGCGTGGTCGATCACACATTTATATGATCGACGAAGTATGTGGGCCATCACCTGCACGAACAACCCAGGGTTGATCTCCATTGGTCAGGTGGATCTGGACTGTTTGTTGGTGAAAGACCCAGATTGGCCTGGTACCGATGCAAACCTACGAGGTAATGACAGCGGATCCACGGGAAGGCAACAATAGTCGCATCACCACTGCTTTTAGCTGCTCCCTGCAGGCGACCTGCTGTCCACCTTTGCACCTTGAGCCACGTGGTGCTGGTTTGGGCTTTCCGCTGTTGCCTGCTGCATGCCTACGCCTCCTTTTTTTCTTCTTCTTCTTCTTCTTCTTCTTCTTCTTCTTCTTCTTCTTCTTCGTCTTCTTAGTCCTCTTCGTCATCTCCTCCTCCTCCCCCCCGCCCGTCCCCCTCAGAGGATCCCACCCACCCTTCCTCTCATTTATTCACCTGGCCTTGCAGCCTAAAGGGGAAAAAATGACAACAGAAAACAAAGAAATGAAAGGAAAAGAAAGTGGGGTACAGAAAGAACCTCAAGAGCTACTTTCTCCTCATTTTGGTTCGTTGTTAGAGGCCTGGATTTCTAATCACTCCTATTTCTGTCTCTCTCAATCCCGCCTGCTGCTTCCTTCTACATGTGTTTCTGAACAACAATTGTCCTCTCAGCTCGTCAGACCACCCGAGTTCCACCGTCTACCTTTGCCCCTTCTCTGCTTCAAATGTGCTAGACACCTAGGCAACTCATTCTACGCCGACTGTCTTGTAGTCTTCAAGAACGAGCTGTAGGAGTGCAAGACCCCAAGCAATGAGCTTAGGAAGCTGAACAGATACGCTAAGAAACCTTTGTCTTGTGGTGAAACACTCGTCTTAACAGGTTTTGAGATGTAGATACATTTACAATTTTATGGACATATGGATGAACATTTTGGTTGTTGAATCATGCTGATTCAATTTGATTGTTGTAATCTTAGGATGGATGGAGAGAGGCATAAATGATTGCGCAGATCAACCAATGGGCGGACACGTGTATTGATAGGGAGGTGGATAGTCTGTAGGCAAAGGGCAAGATGGTGGGACATAAATAAAAAGCAAGTAGGCCGACAAATAGACGATTCAGTTTTGAACGTAGGTCCAAACTGTTATTGGGAAGCAGCATCTGCCTGAAATCAGGTCCAGTGTCATCAAAGGATGACAGAGGGTGGAAATCCCAGTGGACCAATTGCAAAACTAATACTGCTGGGAACCAGGTGAGCATCCCGTTCTTGTAAGAGAGAATCGAAAACAATCAGAAAAGTTTGATGTCTCATACAACACACCTCCACATTTTCCTCTTAGGTCAGAGTGGTCAGACACCATTAGAAAAGATGAGCAAACAAAGACCAAAACCTTTCTGCACGCCTGAAGTAGACAACGTTTCGACGCCGCACTTCAATGATGATATCCCCGAAGGAGGACCAGACAAAAGAACCTCAACTGGGAACTTGTTGCCCCAAGTCTAACAGCATGGAAACTGAGTTTTCAGAACTTGAGCAAAGATCACTCCTCGTTGAGCTCTGCTGGTGCACTGAAGAGGATATGTTGATGCAAAGAGGCACTCTATCTCCCACTTATTGGTGAACAGCGGAGGGTGTGTGCACTCTGGCAGTTACTGAGGCACAAGTTAGTGCATCAGTAGTGGCTGGTGTTGTGGAGATGATATTGCTGTGCATTGTTGTTCAGGAGGCATGCACCTGATACAAAGTATATAGGTTGGAAGATGACTTTTCGGGTGTCAAGGGGAGGTCAGCATGATCATGTGCTGTGTTTGGTATGGATGCAGGTTAGATGTGAAGACTAGAGAAGAATGTACAAAACTCTTAGGTGTTCTTATGCGAAGTTGTCCAGAAGCTGTATCATGTGATTACCCAACCATTTTAGAGGTTTGTGTGTCCTTCCATTCGCCCTCTACTTTCTGAACAAGTTATGCAGACCAGTGTGTTCTTGATGTTGGTAAGAGTCAAACAAGAGAGAGAAGTCGCACATCATGTTTGGGTCTTTGCATGCTTTCTTTCATCTGTTTTGCATGTCTGTTTGGGTCTCGCACTCGAGCTCACTGTGTGTCTTGTTCAAGATTCCCATGGGATGTACTATGTACACCCTTTCCTCTTTTTGAACAACAGGTTGACTGAAGGCAAGCATATTTTCCTGACAAATCGGGACTTCGAGACTGCAATGAATGGTTTGAACGTCCTCATGTCCAGATTCGTGGGTAAAGGCGTTAACCAGTTGTCATTTATGTTGGCAGGAGGCACTGGCCTCTGCTTATTCTCTGCTACAGTTTGTTGGATATTGTCAGAGTTTGGTATGAAACAGTCGCTTGAACAAGTTACTGTTTGGTATTTATCAAATGAAGAAGCATTCATTGACGTGTGAAAATTGCCCCTTATGCTTTTAGGCTTCTAGCTTGTGATTTGTAATCTTCAGCCTCCTCTTATTCCTCATGTGCCTCTGAATTGTTTGCTGCTCTGTATAACCTACCATGATTCAGTGGGATAATTGCAGGCTCCTAAAGACAATGTTGAAACCATACTTGCGTGGTGAGCGGTGCGCTCTTGAGTGGTGTGCGCACATGGGTAGTGCGCAGGGGTATGCGCAACTGGTCCCCATGCGCGCGCACTATTGAATGTGCCTTTTTGTGTGTGTGTGTGTGTTTGCTGGATTTTGGAGGCAAGGCGTTCGTATAGGCCCGTTGTGTTTTCTTTTTGTTTTTGTCTTTTTGAGGGCGTACTCGATCTAGCTCGAGCTTAAATGTATCTGACCCACCTACAGCTGGACCTGGATGTATATGACTGCAATTACGTCCATAGATAAGTGAACGTCCTATTGTGAGTGAGCCTATGGGCCTTGCTCCACCATTCACGTCATGTGCAAAATGAGAATGAATCTTCCGCTAAAACATGGGAATGTACACCTTTTGTCTTCTGTGCGTGTGGTGGAGCGAGGCTATAACGGGTACCGAACTTGGGCCTGTATTTCAACAGTTCAAGGCTCGTCGTAATTCTGGCAGATGTCAGACACTCGCAATCAAAACTAATGGTGGTGTATCTTTCCATGTTCTAACTGAGATTCATTTTGCACATTTGGTGAGTGATGAAGCGAGCCCCTAATATTCCGGATTCTGGCAGTGGTAGTTCAGAACAACCTGCACTCACCATTGGTTCTGTCGGCAGGTAAGGGGCTCGATCCACTTCTCAACACATGCACATACGACAAAAAGTATGGCAGTGCATCTTTCCATGTTCTAGCTCAGATTCATTTTGCACATTTGGTGAGTGATGAATTCTGGCAGAGGTAGTTCAGAACAACCTGCACTCACCACGGGTTCCGGCGGAAGGTAAGGGCCTCACTCCACTTCTCACCACATGCACACAAGACAAAGTATGACAGTGTATCTTTCCATGTGCAAGTGGGAGACTCATTTTCACTTTGTACATTTGGTTAGTGGAGCGAGGCCCGTACGTGGAAATAGCCCGTCGACATACCCTCATCATGACTGTACAGGACACAAAGACAGCAATATGGTGGGTATTCCACAGAGCAGGATGCTTTCTCATCATGACTGTATCAGACCACTGAAAAGCCTCCGAGACATAGAAGATAGCATGCACAGGAACACCAGAACACACAACACAGTTTTTGGGGCTGAGCCCAGTCCTGAAACAAATTTGCCCAGTCCATCTCTTCATTTTTGCGGGATGGGGGGGGGCTATGATTCAGGGCCCCCCGCCCGAGTTTTTCTTTGGGGGCGGGGAACTCCAGTTTTCACCCTTGTTGCGCACTGGGCACACACGCGACATGCACAATTTGCAGTGCGCCTCTTGTGCATGACTGGCGCGCACGCGATGTGCTTCCGCATAAGTATTACTAATTATGTCAACGGACATGGGGCAGGATCTGTATGTAGTGATGTTGGTTGGGACCTGTTGTGGCGATGAGCTTTGGTGGTCTTTATAAAAAGAGTACTTGCATGGGAAGTGTGCATGTTGTATAAAGGCTTACAAGTTAACTTTTCCTCTTTTCAGACCTTGATTTCGAAACTACGGGAGGCAATGCTAATCGAATCTTCGCCTGCACGTGGCCATGGACTCTGTGGAAATTGTGGAGTGGTTACTTCAACGTTGGCAACATTAGGCGATCTGAGTGAAGTGGTGGGTTTTTACCAGTCACAGAGCCTTTTGCTTCCACCTTTTGCTCCTGTATTGGTTTTCCCCCCTGTTTGAATCTCTCTGGTCCAGAGATCTATCTGGACCGAGCAGTTGTTGAATTCGTGTTGTCAAGCCAAATGTTATGGTCAACTGTGCAGTCTGTGAGTTTCCATGTTCCTGGTGTGTGGTTCATCGGGATGTTTTACTGTGCTCAGCTGCGGTTGGTGGTGTTATAGTTCCAACAAAATTTTCTATTTTCGCTTTGCAGACTGAAGGCCTGGGTGAAGGTCTCAGTTATCGTGGCCACCCCATCTCTTGCTACTAAAACATGCAACGAGGAGATCAGATATGGGTTGAATTCTCTAATGCTGCTTATGCAGTTGTGCCTGGCCTTGCATTGTTAACAGAAGTCTAATGCTGCTTATGAAGGTGTGCTTGGCCTCGAGTTCACTCACATGATGGTGTGCTTGGCCTCCAGTTCACTGACATGAAACACATATTTGACAAAGGCATCTCTCTGCATGCAGGGGGGTTCAGAGCTTCGACAGCATCTTAAAGACCTGCTACCACTGATTGTTCAAGCTCTGCAAGATGACAAAGTGCCTGGAAAGCAGAGGGTGGCAGTCATGACGCTTGGGAAGGTTCTACAGAGCACTGGGTATGTGCTTATCTTTCATGACCTTTCCACTTTAGGGGTTTATTTTTGGAAATATTTCACTGGAGTTCTCTGACTGGCCTCTTTTCAGATCGCTTGTCAGAACTGTGAACCTTGTGTAGCCTTGCCTGGGTGTTTGGTGCATGTGAGTATGCAATGTGTGTAACTTACTAACTTGCTGCTTGATAAATAAGTGATGTGCTTTGGAGTGGATGCAGTCAAAGCCATTAAATTTCCCGCGCGAGCCATATGTGAAGCTTTTGTACAATTTGACTTACGTTCAGGATCCATCTACAGAAAACTGTAGAGCCAAGTGAGCTGCATGCCCACTTCAATGTTTTTCGGGCTCAGTTGTCCAAAACGTCAGTTTCCATGTGTTTTGTGCCCGCCCTTCATCAGGGACACATTGTTTTTTGCGACTTTCCGGCGTTTGTGGTAGGCGTCAAAAGCCGTTCATGCTGTGCTATCAAACAGGCTCTCCTGGAGTGGCAGCAGGTTTGTGGAGCTGATAGTGTCAGTCAGCATGGACTTTTTTTGTCCGTTGTGCCATGTGAAGGATTCTTGCCCAGGTTCAAACCCTGGGAATCACATTTTATTTCCCGTTTTTTCTGTCGTGTGGTGTGTGTTGAAGAACGGGGCGCAAGACACCACTGCCTTTATGCGCATTGGGCCACATTACTGTGCTCACAGACAACTCTGTCATTGCTTGAAAGCCAAGCTTACCCCTCAACAGGCACGCTACCCCTCGACAGGCATGCTGGTGGCGCGAGCTTTCTGAGTTCATTTTCTCAGTTCAGCATATGTTGGGGAAGTCGAACTTGGTAGTGGGCGCCTTATCCCGGTGTCCCCATTTCCACCACAATGCCATCGGGATGTCTGCCCTCTCGGTTACCGCCATGGATGATTCAGTGGTTGACTTGTCTTGCACCCATTATGCTCGCTGCCCAGATTTTTGCGATATCCATGCAGACTGCGGCAGGATGAGATCGAACTGTCATATGCCTTACGCGAGAATGGTCTCCTGTGCTGGCATGGCAAATGTGATCCTTCACTGGTCATCTCCGTTTTCACGCCGTAGCCGAGTTCCACGATTGGCTAGCTGCAGGTCATATAGGTTTCCAGAACGTCTACAATCATGTCTACACATGGCCCAATCGTTCGAGTTTGTCCAGAGTTACATCTGGGAGTGTTGCACTTGCCAGGAGGTGAACTGTGCGAACCACCATCTGAATGGGTTACTCCAGCCTCTATCACCACGCTGTTGCGGGTGGCCCTGTGCGGGCCATGAATCGCATCCCCATTGTAGGGATTCGAAAATAGTCCCTGGTTACAGGGGAGAAAAGACAAAAGAAAAGGGAAACTGGGGCAGCGGTTGGTTTGCGCATTTTTGCAATCTTCCAAGGTGGCTGTCAAGGGGCCTTTGTTTCTATCACTGGGTTAGGCGTGCTAGAAACAGGAGTTCTGAAGGAGAGTCTGACTAACCGCAGCATAATCATGATTGTCGTAACTGCGGCACCAACTCATCTCAGGATGGCTACTGGACTACTATGCTTCACGGACACCAGATGACAGAGGATTGCGTTCTCTTTCTTTTTTTTCTTTTTAAACAAACACAGCCCCTTCTATTATGGGGGGCATCAGTCCGGTTGCTTATCACCGGCAAGCATGTATCCACCACTCAGAAGAGGGGTTGGGGGAAGGGGGGGAGTGGGGGAGGGGGAGAGGGGGGAAGGGGAGACGGGGGAGGGAAGGGGAACGAGGAGAAGACTTAGAGACTTAGAGAAACGACTTCATCCTTGTGGCCCTACCGTCTTCACCCGAAAATAATGCCCGGGCATTGAATATGAATATTACGCCCGACTTGCATTATATTCTTTATAACGCCTGGGCGCTGTAATCAGTAAATTGGTGGCGACTTCAGTGGGGGCCCAAAATTCCGTAAAAAAAAAAGTTCAAAACATTCTGTAATATACTAAAAAAAATATGCTGTCCAGAATTGCAATGCGACCATCTTTTGGCTGAGGGTCAATACAGAATTCCTTATAAACCCAGAAATAAAAAATGAAAACAAAAAAATTAAACCGAAATATGCCCCCTTTCAACCCCCTTTGAAACCCATGTATATCCCACTCCCTGCCTTTTCAAACCCATGTGTACTACCTCTACATGGCACTCTGCCCATGGAACATTCAAATATAACGCCCGGGCGTTCTATTTGAATGTAACGCCCGGGTGCTATATCCAAGGGGCACTATTGCAAGGAAGATGAGCAATAGCGAACTTCAGCAATCGAACAGCATCATACACATGAGACCAGATAGTTGAGACCTCGAACCAAAAGCAGAATTGCATCACGAGTTTCACCAAATAAGAGCACACCAAAAGCTCATAATTGACAATGCTGGAATAGTCTCATCATCATCATCAACGAAGAACCAATGTTGATATCCTATCTGGCGCTCGGCGCCCAGACTACAGATGTCAGATCCTATCTAGCCTACTCTACAATGCCGCTGATGACGTCAACAGCTCCCCAAAGTACGAGCAGATCTCGGCCAATGCCACACGCTTCAAGCACCAGGTATGTCTCTCGTATCACTCACAACCTCGTTCCCCAACTCACAGATGCCACTTGCACCCAAGGACCACCATGCGCCCCATCCAGCACACAGCAGCGCAGCTCGGCTATGGCTGCCTGCTCCTTCCAGCTCGCCCATGAGTGCGTGAGCGTGGCAGGCGGTAGCGCAGCAGCGCTTGCGCACAAAGCAGCCAGTGCCCGAATGTCCACTGCCGAGGCAGGCCCTTCCCTATATTGAAGTGGCCTGCTGCTGCGTGCCGTCGTGAGGTACTGGGCCCTGGCCTAGAAGCTTCCACTAGGCCCGACGAGGCTGCGCCTCCATTCAAGGGAAACAGGCCCAGGGCCTGTGGTGGTTACTAGTGCCCAACTGCCCGCAGACTGGGTTGGGTCCATGCTGCGAATCTCGCCCAGGGCCTGACTCAGATGCGTTTGATAAAGATGTCCAGGGCCTGGGCGCGTCCAACCAACTGGCGCTGCACAACTGCCTGAATTTTCCCCGGTTGCGTAGTAGTCCAAAATAGGCCTCTTGGGGTCTGTCGAGCCTGCCTTCACTTAGGGCGGCCAACGCTGTTGCAAATAGGGGACCAGTAGGGCTTATCGAGGCCTTGTGCCTCACACTATACTCGAAGGGGCGTTATATTTGAGGGGGCGTTCTATTCGAGGGGGTATGTTGAATATCGGGTGAAGACGGTAGTCACCTGCCGAAGGGGGGACTGCTACAACCCACACCTGGCTCTTCTTCAGAGGTTCACCTGCTGATCGGGGAGGCTTACTAGCAGCACCCAGTCACACAGGAGCGGGATCACAAGAGGTGGGGGGGGGGGGTTCCCTATCGCCATCTCAAGGATTGCATTCTCCTTTTTTTTGCCAGATGGATTTCGAGGACCCGGAGGAGTCACTTCGACGTGGCACCATGATGCCATGACCTATGCTAATGCTCAGATCACAAGGCGTGATCTGTGCCAACGCTTACTGGACTGACTGGAACGTCTTCGTGAGGATGCTACCCTAACTCTAATGTTAAGGACGGCCCGGGCACAGGTGGGGTCCATCTATATACGGTCCATCTGTGCCTCATCCCGCAGACTCTATGGGCAGCGAACCACTCTTCTACTAAGATGTGATATCCCGCCCTCCCCTATCCTAAGCATGATGCCTTTCCTACCCAAGGCATGATGCCTTTCCTACCCAAGGCTCGCCAAGGATTTACAATCCCTACACTTACAGAAATCCCTAACGTGAGAATTCGGTGATCCGGGCTGCCCGCGGTCCTACTGGCCTGACGGTCCGGATTTCCGTGCGATCTTAAGACTTTAAGACCTTAAGATCGTGCGACGATCCAGGCCATCTGGCATGGCCTGACGGCCTGGACAGCCTGGATCATCACGCGATCTTAAAGTCTTAAGATCACGAGAGGATCCAAGCCATCTGCCCGGTAGGATTGCGGGCGGCCTGGATCGTTGCGCCGGTTGAAAAGAGGGCCCATCGCAGGGCTGCCTGCCTGGGCAAAAACTGGTCCCATGTGGGGCATAGTTTTCTTTCTTGAATAGCGGGCAACACAACATGCACTCGCACAGGCGGGAACGAGACAACACGCACTCACAAGGACACCCGCCCGTGCAAGCACACACACGGACACACACACAAATGCACGCCCGCACGCAGGCAAATGCATCATGGATAGACTGTCGGGGTTCAACCTCCTGATTGGTGAAAGTCCAACGAAACAGTCTGGCACAGTCATGCTTTTTTCGTGGAGTTCACACAGCCACATGAAGAGTGCATGCGTGTGTGTGTGTGTGTGTGTGTGTGTGTGTGAGAGAGAGAGAGAGAGAGAGAGCACCACCTTGACGACACGGACTGATGAAAATGACGACAAAGACAACAATGAAGATGAAAGATAAGGAGCATGATTGGCGAAGGTAAGGTAAGATGGTACTGACGTCAGGAATCTGGGAAGGGGGAAGAAACCATGGCAGCGGCGGACGAGTAAAGCGGACAAGTCCGGAAACCAGACAAGGAAACTGGACACGTCCGGAAACCATGGCACCTGCAACTCTTTTAGGCGTCCTGCAGACAATCAAGACCACCCAACCAAACAACAAGGGCGACGAGATCTCAGATCCAACCACATCTGAGTCGATCTCTCTCTCTCTCTCTCTCTCTCTCTCTCTCTCTCTGAAGCTGAATCAATCAATCAATCAATCAAATATTTGACAGCATTTCCCCACCCGCATGGGGTCGAAATGAATCACTAGAGAACGGCTGAAACGTCAGCCAAAATGCACAGCACGTCCATACAACCCATGGGGCTGAAACTAGACCCAAAAATTCCAAATGCAACGTGAACCAACTGTGGCTGCACTCAGCGAGTCAGCGGCACTACCCACCCCTCATGGGGTCGACACTTCGACAGGAACCATAA